TTCTTCTTCTTCTTCTTCTTCTTCTTCTTCTTCTTCTTCTTCTTCTTCTTCTTTTTCTTCTTCTTCTTTTTCTTCTTGATAGATGAAGCTGCTCCTCCCCCAGTCCCCATGTTTTTGTTTTTTTTGTTTGAGTTTTTTTTAATAAGAATATCTTTTTCAATGTAGAAACAGGTCAACTCAAAAGTTGTTTTTCAAACGTGCATTCATAATTAGTGGAGACACGTCACTTGCGCCGAATGTTCCTAGATAAAAGTCCCTGGGGGGCATTCAGTGACCAACTAGACACAGGTAGTCCATCCCGGAGCTAGGGGGCTTGACTCTGTAGATAGAGAGAAAAGACAATAGAGATGAATGTGTCTACCATTGTGAACACATACCATGTTCTTTCTAGCATACGAGTTCAGTTCATGTGAGCTGCTTCTACCTAGAAAGGCTTGTATTTGTTGTGGTGGGTCATATCCACCCCCCTCCCCCCACCCCCCAACCACCCCTTTTTTCAAACAAACAGATCACTCAAAAACGAACAAAGAACAGCAAGCAAAGGAAAAATGAGAGGAAGAACAACAAATAAGTAAATTAAAAACCAACCAGCCAACAACACACTACAATGAATGCATTTTCTTTAATGGATACATAAAAGTGTAAACAAGTAAGTTCAAATAAACAGGACAACAGTAAACACAAAGAGCACAGACAAAAAGAAACTCAACAATCCTTTAGGGAAAACATTTTTTTGATTCTATTGAAGACGCTTTACAGATTGATTGAGTTCACAGTCACATCGAAAACCCTTTCTTGAAATATTCTTATTCTAATTTGTTTTGGTTTTTTTCATGTGTTGAACTGTTGGTGAGGTAATGTTGCTGTGCTGTTGCACTTTGACCTCCCACGACTGTCCACACACACTGCACTCCCTGTGTTACCCTCCCCTAGTTTTGAGTTTCCATCCGCACTTGAGAATGTCATGTGAAGTCTGACAGTAGACCAAAGCCAGGATTTCTTTCCTCCCATAGCTTTACCCTCCCAGGCCGTGTGAGACGAGTTGTGTGTGTAGACAAGTCTGTCCCAAATGTCGTTCTGTTTTCTTCCAAGTAGTGACGTTCTACTCAGGTGTGGGAACACAGGGCAGATACCGATGCTAAAACGGCTCTGTAAAGCCCCAACTCTTGAGGCTTTTTTTAAAAAATCCAACAAAATAAAAAGGTTAACTCCTCTTGTTTCGATTTTCGTGGGGAAACTTGAGTTAAGGATAACAGTAGATCGCCCACAGTATACCGAATACGGGGTGCCCACTACGGCTGGATCGGGTCGATCGCCCGACTCGATTGCCTGAAACTGAAAACAAACTTGTTTGTTTTTGAGGAAATCGAGTCGAGCGATCGGCCCCCAGCCGTAGTGGGCACCTAGTATAAGAATGTACGCCAATGCCACATAAA